CACTATTGAAATGTTAAATGCACTTAACAGGTATAATTCATATTTCTTGAAATTGAATATAAATCTCTTCTCTTATTCAGTTTATCGGAAAATCAATCTCTTATTAAAATGCCTCCATGGACAAATAAATATCTATTATTTGCTATTGCTTTATCAATGTCATTACACATGATGATTCTTTATGTACCAATGTTTAACGTAAATAAATTTTCGTCAAATAAAACTAAAAATATAAAATCTCATATGATTTATTTTAGACTGTTTTTCAAATTTGTCCCTTAACATTAGAAGAATGGGCGGCTGTAATGAAAATCTCACTTCCTGTTGTATTTCTCGATGAATTATTGAAATTTATAGCGCGGCGGTATATAGACGGTAAATTTAATTCCAATATCTCTTGATACATTTGTATTTTATCCTTCCTAATGTATGCTGTGATTTTTTGCATGATGTATTTTATTTTTTCTAAATAATTGTATGTTATTTATTTTTTGTAATAAATTATTGTTTTGCTTTATACGTGTTCGTATGATAAGCATGTGAATTATTTATATAAGACGAAAAAATAAATTTTATATTTATTTATTTATTTTCTTTGTTTTAGTATCACCAAAAAATCGTGAAATAAATGAACTTGAAGACAAAAAATATCATTAGAAGAAGATTTTGTTTTTTCAAATATACTCAATTTTTTTTTAAGAAAATATCGTCCGACGGTGATCCTTTCATTTTCTTTATTTCTTATGATATATATCACGCGTTTATAAAGGCAAATGTGTAAAAGAATAGACCATCTTTTTCATTATCATTAAATACTTATCCCCCACTCTCTTGTCATAGATTTTAGAAAACATTTTTTGAAATACCAATTTTTGTCTTTTCTTCAATATATTTGTCTAATGTGTTAAATTATAAGTTTTTTAGTAGAGTTGATTTTTATGAGAATTTCATTTTGTCTTTTCAATTCTAATGATATGACCCTCAAGAATGTATTTATCATTCTTTTTTTTCCTGTATAATTTTTTTACACGGTTTTGTCCTGGTTGTTTTGTCTGACACTCATAAACATATCTGTTGTTTCAATGCCGGCGACAGTCCTGTTGTCCTTCTTTTCTTTTTCTTTCTTTTTTTTTGGAATATAAACATACATATACACCATTTATATGTTCAATATTTATCTTGATTTTTGTTATAAACGAACAAAATGTAAGGAGTCAGTTGTGGTTCAACGATGATGTTAGGCGAGTGAAGATGGTTTATATCGATTGTCCAATGTAATAGAGAAAGAGAACGAAAAGATGAATAACCTATATGTGGGTTGAGAGAACAGAAAAAGAAAAAGAAAAAAAAGAAAATTTTATGACTGATTCATGTTATGTGCTATTTGCGTAGGTGACGAAGAATGTGATGAATTTTCACTGTGCTTTTTTTGTAGATAAATATTACTTTTTATCTACTATACATTCAGTTTATTTCGTGTGAAAACTTTTTTTGTTGATATTATTCTCAATGGCATCACGGGCTAAAGCAAAACCACCAAAGAAGCGCCAACAGCGCGCAACTTCAAATATATTTGCGATGTTTGATCAATCACAAATTCAAGAATATAAAGAAGCTTTTAATATAATTGATCATGATCGAGTTTGTTTTCTATTTATTTCATTGATATAATTCTTTATTTTTACTTTATTAGGATGGTTTTATTAGTGGTGATGATCTTAAAGATATGTTTGCTTCATTAGGTAAAGTTGTAACTGATGCCGAAGTTGATGGTATGATTCGTGAAGCACCAGGTGACATTAATTTTACTATGTTTTTAACATTATTTGGAGAAAAATTAACTGGTACTGATCCTGAAGATGTAATTAAAAATGCATTTATGTCATTAGATGATGATGGTTCAGGTAAAATCTCAGAAGAACGTTTACGTGAATTATTAATGACCATTGGTGATCGATATAATGAAGAAGAAGTCGATGAATTATTTAAAGAAGCACCAATTAAAGAAGGTTTATTCGATTATCCGGAATTTGTTAAAATTCTTAAATATGGCCGAAAAGATCAAGATTAAACGTTCAATTGATTTCTTTTTTTAATATTCAGATCTTCTAAAACATCCAATATGATCATAAAGATGAATTTTTTTTATATATGTATCTTATTTCCATATTAAACATTCGATAATCTCTTATTTCTTCCATGCATTATATATATATATCTACTTAAAAAGTTGATCATCGTTATTTCTTTTACGATCAATAAAATAAATTGGAAGATAAAATCATTGAACTAATGTTTTTTCTCTTATAACTAATCATAGCTACTAATTGATTCCATCAATTTGATATTAGAAGAACTATATACATTAAGATATATATATTTCTTCGAGATCTTGTATTAGAACAATTCTATTAATTAATTCAATCCAGTAATGTTTATTATTCATTTCTGAGCGTACTTAGTTTGATGTAGGGAGTACCTTGAGGTAAGAAAGATGTCTGTATGTATGACAGAGATATTAATACACTTTAGATATATTCAATAATTTATTATTTGTTTACAATACGAATAATCTCTTATGCAATTTAATATTAGGATAATTTGATGGAAGTGTTTTTGTTTTAGATTTCATTAGTCATTCCCTAAATAATATAGCGTGAAGAAATTATATAAAAAAAAACATTCGATCTTATCTTCTTCAAATTCATCGTTTGTCGATAACCTTTATATAAGTTCAAACTCATATTATACAGCATGCAAGATTCTTTTAAAAATAAGTTCATTGGGTACGTTTAATCGAAGAATGATATGTCGAGACATTTTTATTTTTTCTTTCTTATGAATAATTGTTAAATTGCTTGTATCCGAACGTCATCTTTTTCTTGCACAAGGATTGGGTAATTGTTAATGATCCAATAGAAAAGAATAATCATTCTTTCGTAATTCTTTGTTCATAAAAAGTTAGAAAATTTTCTTTCTTATCTTTCATAATTTCTTCAGAGAAAAGAAATGTCTTATCCATTTTTGGAAACACTTTTTCATACATATCGATCACAAATTGAAAATAAAGATGATGCACTTATTATCTTTACTCATTGGTGTTTAATTTCACATGGTTTTCAACGATTAGATGGCAATCAAGTATTTTCAATTTTTTAAATCTATTTTTCTTATTTGTATATTCATCTTTGTCTATCATAGAAAACTGAATTATTACCAAATGATTGGACACAAAGACCGGATAATTCCATTACAATGGAATATACAAAAAATGATATTGGTTATAATTTAAAATTATTTGATGTTGAAGGTGTTTTCTTTGCACATTTATTCGTAAGATAATAATGAATAATTCTTTTTTTCTAATGTCTTGTATTATTTTCTAGCGTAATAAACAAGGTCGTCATGTTGAAATTAATTTTAGTGTCAATGATCATGTACATGAAAATTATAAAGAATTCCAATCGTATGATAATAATAATACTATATAAGGTTTTTGATAATCTGTTTTTTTCTTTTGTATTATTAGTGCTTATAAAAATTTAAATGATTTAAAAAAAGAATTTCATGAAAAAATTGAATCATTAATCAATGGTGGTTCGGATTCAAATGTTACAAATGATAGTTCATCATCTGGTAATACTCGAACAGGAACATCAACTAATCAACAACAGCCAAGTAGTGGTCGACGACAGATACCCGATGATCCACTTATTGATCCTTTAGCTGCTGGTCGACGACCACATCCATATGCCGGTGGTTGGTAAGTTTTACACAAACAACAAATTAAACAATAGACGTATATATTTGATAATTATAGGGGACCAATGCCTGGAGGTTATGGTCCAGGTGCTGGTGCTTATGGTAGTTCAGATCTGGATCCATTTGGACGTAATACACGAGGAGGAGGTTTGTCTAATGCATTGTTTTTTTCTTCAAAAATAATCGATTTTAGTTTAGGTATGAATATGGATCCATCAATGTTTCAACCATCAATGAGGTAAGAATATTTTATCGAATGAGTGTGTCGATTAAATTTGAATATTTTAGACCACCTATGGCTCGATTTCAACCACCAGGTCCTCAACGAGGTCCATTTGGTGTTGAGTAAGTTTTTTTTTGTTCTACATAGATTTGCTTATTTTGTTGTTTATTCTAATTTAGTCCATTCCATGAACCAAATCCTGATCATATACCAATGCCTGGTCCTCATCTAGATGATATGTACAATTAAGTTTATATTGTTTTTATTTTTAACATGCTTGTTCTATTGTTTTCATAATAAAAGAAGCTTAGATAGCCGAGAAAAGTATATACATATATACAATCATTTAAAAAAAATGATTTTAGATTAAAAATAAAACGTCAAAAGATTTAGATCCAACTGGCGGAATATTTAGTGGTAAGTTTATAGATGAAGGTAAACATATATAAAAGAATCGACAGATACAATGATGGGACAAATTAAAGAAGCGAATAAACTAAAGTTTGTATTTAATTTTTCGATCGTATGATATTTTTAGTCCTAATCGTGATGATGCACCGAAAATAGATTTTCAAAGCGAATCATTTCCAAGTCAAACACCTATATTTTCGTTTTTATTTTTAGATATAATATTCTATGGCATCGAATGCTAAAATTCGTGTAACAGTTACACTTCAACCATCAGGAAAATCAAGTGTTCTCATTGTTCAAACATTGGATGATCTTCTTCGTCAATGTTCATCAAAACTTCGTGTTAAAGCACGTCGTATTTTCTTAGCGTCAACAGGAGAAGAATTATTAACAGATTTATCTAAAGTTTCAAATGATATGAAATTAATTGTTACATGTGGTGATACATATACTGTCACTAATCCACCTTCGACAACACAAACAAATTCAATAATTGATTCATCTAAAGTTTCTGTACAAGTTATTGCAAATCGAACATTAGTTGAACAAGAAGCTATTGATCAATTGAAAAATGTTGCTCGAATTTATCCTCATGTGAAACATATTTGGGGTAAAGATTAGAATAATAATTTTATAAATATATTGCTATACTAACAAATTTATAGGCATGCCTGACTTACATGTTGGTCAAGCTACACCTATTGGTTGTGTAGTTGCTACTGAACCATCTGTTGTTTATCCTGAATTAATTGGTTCTGATATTGGTTGTGGTATGAGTTTTGTTCGAACATCATTACGTCTTGTATATGAAGATGATGATCGAAAATTAAGTAAATGGACAAAACAATTACAAGGTCTTGATGATTATTTACCAAAAGAAAGAATAGATGAATTTCTTCAATCTGATCTTCAATGGCCTACAACAGTTAATAAAGTTAATATTGATCATAGCGAGAATGAACAATTAGGAACAATTGGTGCCGGTAATCATTTTGTTGAATTACAACGAATTGAAGAATTATATGATGATAAAGAAGAAGATCTATCGAAAGATTATCTTTATCTACTCGTTCATTCTGGTAGTCGTAGTTTAGGTGAAAGAATTTTACGAGAATTTTGTAAGGGAAAAGGTGAACTACGTGGACTTGAAAAAGGTACAGATGATTATGATATTTATATGAGTAAACATGATGAAGCATGTGCATGGGCTAAACGAAATCGAGCTCTTATTGCTCAACGTTTTCTTACTTGTCTTGGTCAAATGACAACTTCAGCACAATGTCTTGTTGATATTTGGCATAATAATGTTGTATTAAAAGATTTATCATCCGATAATAGCCAAGTGCATCTTCATCGTAAAGGTGCCGCACCATCTGATACAGGTCGTGTTGTTATACCAGGTAGTCGTGGTACACATTCCTATCTTGTCGAACCCATTGATCAAAATCAAGAATCATCAGGCTACTCATTAGCACATGGGGCTGGTCGTGCAATGTCACGTTCTAAAGCACATCAACGTTTTAGTGGAAAATATCCAGATTCAGATCGATTAAGAATAACTGAAACATTAGATTCACATGTTGTATGTGATGATAAACAATTACTCTATGAAGAACATCCAGAAGCATATAAAACAATTGATGCTGTTATTGATGATCTTGTTGAAGCGAAATTAATACGCGTTATTGCAAAAATGAGACCTCTAATTACATATAAAACAAGATTAACACATAAAGAATAATTTTAATAAAAAATATAATATTTTATTTTTTTCTAGATATAAAATTTTTGTGTCAGATATATTACAATGACTGATAGTAAGTATAAACAGAAGTTTATATTTATAAATAATTTCTTTTTATTTTAGCCGATGATGTAATAAATGAAGAACGTCAAATTAATGATGAATATAAAATTTGGAAAAAAAATTCAGCTTTTCTTTATGATTTAATTATGACTCATGCACTTGAATGGCCATCGCTTACTGTCCAATGGTTACCACAAGTCACAAAGTAAGTTTTAGATTTTCTGTTTTAACGTAGAATAATTAGTATGGGATATTAGTGTTATTTGAAGAAAGATTGCCCTTAGAATTGTATCATGTCATCAATAAAAAAAACATGTCAGTTGGTCTATGCTTCTTGCTATCCATTATCCATGTCAAGTTGATCGAGAAAATAATAAAAATACTTGATGGAATTTGCTCTAGGATTTGTTTTTCTAGCTGCTGTTATTGTTATTGTAGTTTCCCATTTATCTTCGAGTAAAACAATTAACAATAATAATCTGATACGGATATAAATAGATATAAACTGTTATACAGATATCTGAGTCTAAAAAATAAAACTCACAAATAGATAGATTAACTTTGAAGAGTTAGATATTATAATACAAATAATCAATCGAAGCATGATTATTTGAGTATAGAATTCATCATAAAATTATGATTTTCTACAAATATATATATCGACAAAAACAAAAAGCAATCATGTTTACTTCTAACACAGAAATCGGAAGATATGTCAATTAACGCTTTGTTGACATCTGTCCAAGGTCACGGTCACATATAAATGTTATTTATTTTAGAGCTGATGATAATAAAGATTGTACTGTTCATCGTCTTATACTTGGTACACATACATCAGATGAACAAAATCATTTAGTTATTGCATGTGTACAAATTCCAAAAGATGGTATATTAACTGATACTACTCAATATGAATCTGAACGTGGAGGTAAATAATATCGTATATTTTCATTTCATTTTATTGAAATATATATATTTTCAGAATTTGGTGGTTTTGGTTTATTCAATGCTAAGATTGAAATAGAATTAAGAATTAATCATGAAGGTGAAGTCAATCGTGCTCGGTATATGCCACAAAATCCATCGCTTATTGCAACAAAATCTCCATCAGCTGATGTATTAATATTTAATCATACGAAATTAGCATTACAATCAAAAGAACAATTAATGGCACAAAGTGCTGATTGTTGTCCTGAATTACGTCTTCGTGGACATAAAAAAGAAGGCTATGGTCTTTCATGGAATCCAAATGCTAGTGGACATATATTGTCAGCATCGGATGATCATACTATATGTTTCTGGAATATTGAAAAAACACCAACGGAAGGAAAATATGTTGATCCATTAGGTATTTTCTCTGGACATCAAGCTGTTGTTGAAGATGTTGCTTGGCATTTATTTCATGAAACACTTTTTGGTTCAGTTGGTGATGATTGTAAATTGATGATGTAAGTTTTTGTCAAAAAAAAATTAATTATTTATTTATTTTTATCTTTATTAGTTGGGATACTCGTTCATCAAATTATACAAAACCATCGCATGTTGTTGATGCACATAGTGCTGAAGTTAATTGTTTATCATTTAATCCATTTTCGGAATATATTCTTGCAACAGGTTCAGCTGATAAAGTTTGTTTAATCAATTTGTTTTCTTTAGATTTAACTAATGAAATTTTATTTAGACAGTTGCACTTTGGGATCTTCGAAATTTAAAATTAAAATTACATACATTTGAATCTCATAAAGATGAAATATTTCAAGTTCAATGGTCACACCATAATGAAACAATTCTTGCTTCAAGTGGTACTGATCGACGATTACATGTTTGGGATTTAAGGTAAATTTTATTTAAAAAATATTTTGATTTCTTATTTATATTTTTTATTTTAGTAAAATTGGTGAAGAACAAACTAGTGATGATGCAGAAGATGGTCCACCAGAATTATTAGTAAGAGAAATAAATTAATTGTTTTGTTTTTTCATCGTTCTTTTTTGTTGTTGTAGTTTATTCATGGTGGACATGCAGCAAAGATTTCTGATTTTTCATGGAATCCAAATGAACCATGGGTTATTTGTTCGGTATCAGAAGATAATATTATGCAAGTTTGGCAAATGGTAAAATTAGATTTTATATTTATTATTAAATTAAATATACATATTTTAGGCTGAAAATATCTATGCAGAAGATGAAACTGAAGCAAATCATGCTGATCTTGAATAAAAGATTATTATTTTTTTCTTGTCTCTATATGTATTTGTATTGTATAGTAGTGTCAAATTTCTGTTTATACTTAAAACCATGAATGATTGAATATGAATAAATAGACTAAGTTTACTAATCAAGTTCACTATTTTAAACAACAACAAAAAATTTGAAAGAAGAATTTATGTATGGTGTAGATATAAATCTTTTAAATAAAATCCTGTCCGAGTTCGAGTTCTTTTGCTGGCAGACCTGCCAGCAGTTGACGAGCGTCATCTTCTGTGAATTCCATACTGTGTTTCAATGAATCCAGTTTATTCTCATAGCCCGAACTGTGCTCTAGTTGTTCCGTATCAGTCGACTGTGTCGCTTGATGTCTCTTTTGGTTTAATGTACACCATTGTTTTGAAGTGAGCATGCCCTTCGATTTGACATATTTGACAATGGTAGAGCCTATTTAATAAAACCCCTATTAAAAGACAAAGTAAAACAATATTGACTCACCAACGACTATACCACCCTTAGTGGGCAATTGTCCAACTCCACCATTTCGACCAACTGTCACGAGCATCGCTGGATGCTTTGCAGGATGGTATTCTTCTGGAAAGTCTTTTTTGTGCTCGATTCGCGCAATAAATGATGCTACATAGTCAGCTTGTTTGTCAGCAAGAAATGCGAGTTTTCCTTCTTTACTACTGATATCACCAATGGCAAAAATATTTGTATAACCTTTCACTTGTAAATATTCATTCACATTCAGCCGACCTTCCTTGTTCGTATCTAGCTCTGCTACGAATGGACCCGCCTTCAAACTTTTGTTGTTTACATGTGCTCCTGTACATACAAATGTCAGATCAGTCTTGATCTCGATCTTGCCTTTTGTTGTTAAGAATGTTTGATCACCTTCAATAAACTTCTCATGTTGATGTGCATAAGTAGTCGTGCCTAAATCAACACGATCATTAAACACAATTTTGACGCCGAGTCGTTCAAGGTCTGCTTGTAATCGAGTATAAAATTCTTTTTTGAACGCACCCGAATCGAGTAATGCCACACCGCTATGTACAAGTGTTATATCCTTGTGTGGAAAATCTGTTGCAATTTCTCCAGCCAGTTCAATGCCTACAGGTCCACCACCAATGATAAGAATGCGTTTCGCCTGTTCAATCTTCTGTCGAAGATTATCATAGTGTGCAATGGCTTGAGATTGTTCAGTTTCAGCGACTTTTCCGGGAAATGCATATGATGATCCTGTAGCAATAACGAGATAGTCGAATTGAATCGGCTCTTCACGTCCATGAACTTTAACACCATCGGGTGAAATAACTTCGACTTCAGCTTGTACAACACATCCTACAAAATCTGTATTTTGAAAAAAAAGAAACAACCAACTCTGAATAACAAACCATGTGTGAGTAGCCGGTCATAAGGAATCAATATTTGATGAGCATAGTTTGGTTCGACGCTGGCGCGTAATGCTCCAATATTGTGAAAAAAATAGGATTTTCGATCGATAAGTACGACAAAAAAATGACCAGTTTTGTCCAATGCTTTGGCACATTGAACACCACCTAAGAGTTAAAAAAATGTTGAAGAAAACGAGTTTTAAAGCTTCTACTAACCGTATCCGCCACCGACAATGAGCACAACTGGCTTCTTCTCCTTGTTTTCTCGTGATCCAGTGATACCCATGTTCTAGTTTCTTTTACAAAAGTTACTCGAACGAAAAGACACAAATATAGATATTTTTGTGCGTATATACCTCGCTTCATTGCATTTTTTTGGGAGTAGTGAGTAAGAGTACTATTACATCCGAATGTTTTTTTTTCTCTTCGATGAGGCCGAATGAAAACGAAATAAAAGCACATGTCAACAAATATGAGTAAGAGGAACGTACGTCGGGTGTGGACTGTGGGTGAGTAATTAAGACTACAACGATGCGCAGAGCCACATCCTCAAATATCTATGCAGAAGATAAAAGTGAAGCACATTATGTTGATCTTACATAAAGACTATCATTTTCTTGTTTTTATATGTATATATATTGTATTGTATTGTATTGTACAGTAGTGTCAAATTTCTGTTTATACTTAAAACCATGTAGGTATAAGTCTACTATATTCTAATGAGTTAAAGTTGATTTATGAAAAATAAATCTTTAATATAGATTAAAAATAACGTCTGTATAACATACGCGTTTCACAGCTCTTCGTAAATGTATTTGTATATGTTTCCTGTCCTATGTAAGTTCTCTACGGAATATTACATATGTAAATAATTCTTTTATAATTAGAACTACCGTACTTTTAATTAAAATACCAAAATTAACTTTCATCAAAATTTTGATCTCAATAAATAAACCTTCAACCAGCGGAAGATTCTGACTATATATTTTGTGCAAAGACTTTTTACACGCAGTTTATTATGTCGTGATGTTAAGAAAATTTTGATACAATGTAAAATTTATTTTTTAAATAAAGTCCTGTCCGAGTTCGAGTTCCTTCGCCGGTAGACCTGCGAGCAGTTGTCGAGCATCATCTTCTGTAAGCTCCATGCTGTGTTTCAATGAGTTCAGTTTTTTCTCATAGCCCGAACTATGATCCGATTGTTTTGTGTCAGTCGATCGTATCGCTTGATTCATCTTCTGATTTAACGAAGACCATTGCTGTGAAGTGAACATTCCCTTCGATTTGGCATATTTGACAATGGTAGAGCCTATTAAATAAAACTCCTATTAAAAGACAAAGTAAAAGAATATTGACTCACCAAAAATCATAGCACCTTTGCTAGGCATTTGTCCGGCTCCGCCATTCCTTCCCAAAGTCACGAACATCCCTGGATATTTCAAAGGGCGATATTCCTCCGGCATGCCTTTTTTGAGCTCGACTCGTGTAATGAATGATGCTACATATTCGGCTTGTTTGCCTGCGAGAAATGCGAGCTTGTCTTCTTTACTACTGATATCGCCAATGGCAAAAATATTTGTATAGCCTTTCACTTGTAAATATTCATTCACATTCAGCCGACCTTCCTTATTCATATCTAGCTCTGCTACGAATGGACCTGCCTTCAAACTTTTGTTGTTTACATGTGCTCCTGTACATACAAATGTCAGATCAGTCTTGATCTCGATCTTGCCTTTTGTTGTTAAGAATGTTTGATCACCTTCAATAAACTTCTCATGTTGATGTGCATAAGTAGTTGTACCTAAATCAACACGATCATTGAGCACTACTTTGACACCAAGTCGTTCAAGTCCTTCTTGTAGTCGAGTATATACTTCTTGTTTGAACACATTCGGATAGAGTAGTGTTGTACTACTGTGTACAAGGGTTATATCTTTCAGTGGAAAATCTGTTGCAATTTCTCCAGCCAGTTCAATGCCTACAGGTCCACCACCAATGATAAGAATGCGTTTCGCTTGTTCGATCTTCTGTCGAAGATTATCGTAGTGTGCAAGGGCTTGAGGCTGTTGAGTTTCGGCGACTTTTCCGGGAAATGCATATGATGATCCAGTAGCAATAACGAGATAGTCGAATTGAATCGGCTCTTCACGTCCATGAACTTTAACACCATCGGGTGAGATAACTTCGACCTCAGCTTGTACAACACATCCTACAAAATATATATGTCAAAAGAAAAGGAAGATTTAACTATGAACAACGAACCATTTGTGAGCAGTCGATCATACGGAATTAATATCTGTTGAGCATAATTCGGTTCAACACTAGCACGTAGTGCTGCAATATTGTGAAAAAAATAGGATTTTCGATCGATAAGTACGACAAAAAAATGACCAGTTTTATCCAATGCTTTGGCACATTGAACACCACCTAAGAGTTAGAAAAATGTTGAAGAAAACGAGTTTTAAGGCTTCTACTAACCGTATCCGCCACCGACAATGAGCACAACTGGCTTCTTCTCTTTGTTTTCTCGTGATCCAGTGATACCCATGTTGTATTTTCTTTTACAAGAGTTACTCTAATGAAAAAACACACATGTATATATATATGTATATACCTCGTTTCTTTGCATGTTAAACATGACAGAGCATTTTTCTAGGAGTGGTGAGTAAGAGCACTATTACACTGGAATAGTTTTGTTTTCTTTCTCTTTGATGCGACGCACGAGAACGAAAGAAAAGTACATGTAAGCACATGTGAGCAAGAGAAATGTGCATCGTGGAAAACGTGTTGACGACGCAGTGAGGTATACGTCTTGCTTAAAAGACGGAGAGTTATTATTGACAGGTTCTTTCCTCAGTTTGTGTTAATAGTTTTTGCACCGTCATTGTCGTTGTTGTGTTCTTCTCATACTCTTGTAATTATTTTCTTTTCTATTTTTTGAAATCGTCATCATATAAAACAAACTAATAAATATGCAAAAAATATTTTCTCAGTTTTCTCTCTTACATGACAAAGAAGAGAGACGTGAGCGAGATTAACGATCACATTTATCTTCAACAAAACCATGATTGAATTTTTAAAACTCAATAGCTTTCTTGAAAAGTTAAATTTGTATATCGATAACTCGTATTTTCAATTTTACAAACACATCTGAATTCTATATATATTCATATTTAGTTTTACTTTAACGATTGTTTGTCTACCCATAAATAGTGTAATTTCTAGTATAGTAACTACAAAAAAACGTACATAAGTTAATGTTAGTTTTACAACATGCGTTCTATTTAGACATTTTATTTTCTTTCCGTTTTTGTATACACTGATATAGGTGAATGCAACCTGTTTAGCCGATAATTATTACAAATTCTCGGTTAAAAATAAAGATGAGATTATTTGTTCTAGTGTCTTTGATCCACTTCATTTACCTAAAATAATAATTTCAACGATCTTGATGACGTGGGTGAGTAATCAACAGTAAACTCTCAACCTTCGAGCTATAAGAACATAAGGACCAAAGGAATTTTATTTGTATTGATATTGTACAGCTAAACACATAGCATTGCTACTATGTGAAATAACAAGAATTTTTTTTCAGTAAAATGTTGCATTTCATGTTATTTTTTCCTATAGTGTGTTAATTACAATCATTGATAGTGAGTAACAAGAGTACACAAGATTAATAATAGATGTACTTAAATTCTTTTCATAAAATTTCTTTCTATTTATCATTGAAAATTTCAGTTAATAGAGATGATAAATATGTTATTAGTAAATTCTATCTGTCAATCTAATTATTCAAATAAAACCACAAGGAAATCAAGAAATTGAAGGAAAAATATAAATTTGATATTTATTATCACTTATTTTAACCGATTGATATAATTTCATCTTTTAGTATATACATACAAGTGTGAAACTGAGCTGTACATAAATTAACTCATATAACTGTAAAATACAAAAGTATATATTCACGAATTTAATCTTCAAGGACATTGACATATTAATAAAAATATTCACAGTTATCGAATCATTTTCATACTTTGCGAATTGTTTTTGAGAATTCTATGATAGAATTTCAATTGAATAAAATTTATATTAGAAATTTTAAAAACGAGAGATTGGCCCATTTAAGCTATCTTTTTGATTAAAAATTCAATAGTAACACAATCGGTTGATAGACATTTTAAAAATATGTTATCTTAAACATTGTATTAATATTTATTCAAATAGGCAAAGTAAATCTACATTTCATCGCTTCTACTATACTTATTTACAGTTCTTTTGACTCTGTGAAAACATACGTGCATAGATTAACACATTGAGTACTTTCTTTGATTTTTTTCTATCGTAATGTAATACATATTTTTGTTTGCATTTACCATCTACCCGTTTAATGTTTTATAGAATTAAAAAAACAATCGATTTTTTTCTTTTTCAGTTACTGATAGAGAAAAAAAATCATTATTCATATGTTTTGAAGAATTCTAGCAATATGTTGTGTCATATTATCTTCAGTTTATTATTTTTTTGTATTCCTGTCTTTGCTACTAAAATACCTTTTATCAATAATACCGTTTTTATTCCAACATCGAATACAGATATTACAATAATTACAAATCAAACATGTAGTCAATGTTTATGTTTCATACTGAACTCTTCTTATATTGCCCTAAATTGTCTCCCAAACGATACATGTCAATTTTTTAATACTTTCTCTCGTACTTATACAATTCAAACAATATCACAAGCTCGTCTCTACTTTTTTCAAGAAATTTTTCCAAATGCAAGTCAGTGTTGTATATCTAATACTGATTACCTGATAAATAAACTTAATACAACAACTCCGATCCATGCCAATATTCCTGGTCCTCGTTGTCTTGTTTTTGACAATAATGGATATTTAGTTACAGTCTCTTGGTCTATCAATCAAATCATCCGTCTTTATCCAACAAATCTAACCATTGTTAGTTATCCATTATCTCCTAGATTCAACGACAGTCCTCAACTTATAACTTATCATAATGAGGCATATTACGTAGCATTTCCGTACTATATCGTGGCCGTTGACACTAATACTTTGACTATACTTAGTAATATTACAGCACCGAACTTAAGTGGAACTCGTGGTATGATGTTTCTTAACAACGGACAAACATTGATTGTTGCTTCTACTTTTAATTCATATCTTCTGTTTTTTAATCAATCAGCTACGGACTCTACAAGTTATAGTTTTGTTAATCAACAAAAAGTGAATTATATAGACCCACATGGATTTTGGTATGTAAGTGACACTTACTTCTATGTGACATCATGGCAAGATAATACGATTTATGCTTATTCTGCTACTAATAATAGTGTAATATGGACGGAACAACTTTTTGTTGATGCACACTCAGTAGCACCATCAAGCGATGGTAATCATTTAACAGTTGATGAATGTGATCGTTATTGGTTCATGTTAGGAGGAAATGGTATTAGAATTTTTAACAATCAAGCATCGCTCATTGCAAATTTAACTCGAATATCTGCATCTCCTTTTTATTCAATTATTACCGATAAATATGTAATATATGTATCAGATACATCATCAAATTTAATTATTCGAATTGATCCAAATATCCAATGTTATTCTGATGAAGAAAATTAAACAGTAGAAAAAATTATGTAAAGACATTTTAAATGTCAATAATATTTTTATCACTGTGTCAGAGAGAATTATTTTTCACAATAAATAAAATTTATTCAAACAATCTTATATATTTTTTAGATGCATTTCTGATAATTTTAAAGAAACAATATTTGTGCTCTTTCGTTCATTGTACATGTATTATGAATTTGTCTCTCATTGTTTTTAGTATAATTCGTTATTTAATCACGTGTTGTATTGAAATGAAAAGGTATCTATAGTAACTGAAGTGTCTTTTATAGAGAGCAAGATGAAAGGCTTTTGCATTTCTCTATCATACTTTGTAAAAAAAGGAAATTGGAAATAAAAAGGAAGTAGCCTACCTGTACATTAATTATTAGTAACTGTATCGGAGTAGCGATCAATTTATAATTAGATTGTAATGATAAAAAATATATGTACCATTATTAAAAGTGAATGTATATATATATATATGAGTCATTTTGAACATGAAATATAATCCAGCTATTTGAGTAATACTGACTTTATTATTCATGCTATATTTTTAATAATCGGTATTCAATATTTTGCTATTATTTTGTAGATTTTATATTTATGTATCAACTTTACAAAGATTAATATTCAAGTTTTGAAAGTCATATGCCTTAATAGATCTGCTAAAAAATTATTTTACTAGTGAATATTCAGGTTTATCTTGTAAGATCCATCAACTGAATTGATAAAAATTTTGAAGATCCGTGAATTCAATTGAAAAAAAGAGTTCTCTTAGTTTTAGTTGAAGAATAAATTTACAGAATGGATATCTGAGAAATAGCAAGTCTTCATTCTTTTGGCAAGTATGGATATATGTGGCGATTTAAAAAAAAAGTTTATATGCGTTTTTTAACTCTTACTTTTATATTTATATGATCTGATTGCTATTTTCATGCAACTGTGTTCTCTATATACCAACATGATCTTTGAATATTTTAGATAAACGAATGTATGATCTACTCTACAGTTTATTAGCGCAACGTCATGTGTGATATATGTCTCGGTCTGAACTGAGATTTTTAATTTACAAACAGTCAATTCAACCGCACTCACGAATTGAATAAACTAATTTTTTAAACTTCCAAACATTAAGTAGGATTGAGTTCAGATATATCTGATAAAAGCGAAGAATATATTTTAAGGGTGTGGGTGTGAGTAGTGTATCAAAAACCCACACCCACATTGGCTATGAATGCCATTAATTAGAAAAGAATTTGGAAATTTTTATTTATTCAAACTGATGATTCTTATTGATCGTTTTTTTCTTTATTTCTGGAATATTAATAACATTATTGAGTGTTCAATGTTGATATGAAAAGACCTTTAGTACATCGTTACCATTATTTATGTACAGATCATTTCAGTATTATCCATGCTGCTCTTCGTTTGAAATGGATTTTTCCCAGTATTTAAAATGTCCACAAATACCCGGATGAAAAATATTCCATCTTTAACATAAATACTTTGTGTATCGGTAAGATATTCAAGTAGGCAAAATTTAATTATACCATATTCATCATTTTTTTCTTGTATAGGTCGAGCAAACGAAGATGAATTGGCGTCTGGTTTTAGAATATATTCAATATGATTTTGTTGATTCGATTGATCCCATAAAATAAAATGAATATTGTATTTAAACGGATATGGTATAAGATTATCATATTTTCCACGGTGTAAAGTAAGAAAAATCGATAGATAATCTCGATTGGATTCATTTGTTGAGCATAGACGTATTGTAAATGGATAACCATATTTCGAAGTTATAATTTTTACTGGATCCAGTGAAAAAGGTAACGTATTTGGAGAATTAAAAGGGAGAGTTGCAGTACAATCTTTATCTAATATTAAAACTGGATCTTTTCCAGTCGCTTGTTTAATATTATTCATATCTGTTTGTAATTGACTTTGTTTTTCTACTGATTCTTCTAGGGGTTTTTTGTTTTCATTGGATTGTTTTTTTAACTCATCCATATTTCGTTGATTCTGTTCAATAATTGTTTTGATATTACTCGCTTCAAGTTTTATACGTTCTTGATTCAATGATAAAGTTTCCATGGCTGGTAAAATGTTATTCATAGTTTCATGTAATTCTCTATGTTCATTTTTCGTTATTTCCAAACAATTCTCAATCTGTGCTTGTCGATGTTTTGGATCAATATATTCAGCAGTTTTGAGAGATAATATATACTGATGTTGATCGCTAAGATAATGCGTTTTCATATCATACCATTTTACCTGAAAAAAAACAAGTTACTAGTTATAATTTAAACATGAAATGAAATATTACTAAAGCCAGACAATTGGGCAATCCGCATAGCAAATGTCTATGTATACATAGTTCCATTCGATGTTCTTCTAATAAATTCATTGCAAAAAAACGTTCATTACAACCGACACATTCTAGATCAGCATGTTGTTTTTCTAAATGGACCTGAAATAGAAGAAGTTTATTATAGTTGTTTAACTCATTCAAACAACATACTAGATAATCTTTGTATAATCCTTTCCAAGGACATAGATAACATATGATGAATACTTGCCTCAAATCTCGTTCGACGCCACGATCTGCTACTGCCTACTAATCAAATATTATAAGAACATAAGCTAAAAAAATTATCATACTATTTTTTTTTCTTGTTTCGTTTGACAAAATGGGCAAATAAATGGCTCACTGAATAGAAAAAAAGAATTTCAGAATGTAATATTAAATTAAAAATCTACCTGTCAGATACACCATTTTTCATGCACCATCGGCATAAAAGACTGCCGCAACATACGAGTTGGTATGCATATAGTAATAGCATTGCACATAACTTACAAATAAATGTATTGTTAATTTCTTGGAAGTTTCCAACCTTTAATCCTTCGAATAGTTTCGTTTGACTGATTTTCGTATAATCTGACATTGCAGTGGTGACTGTAAGAAGAGTAAGTAATATTTATATGACGCAAGCTTGAAATATAATTTTTTTCCGCTTTATATGCATTACATATTTTACTTTCCTCTTGCCACGACATCATTTTCCTCAAAACGTGTGCGGAAGTAGATAAAAATCACACATACCGATCAGAGATGCAAAAATTTCCTCGTGCGTCCCCACGCAGGGGAGAAACTTTTTGGTTTTTTGGAAGACTCTGCGCGTTTGATGCCCACACATCATATCTGACACACGAAACTGTTAAGTACCAACATACTCTTCCGATACACTCTATTAGTAATTATTATTTTATGACTAATTTAATAGTACGATGTAACTGCATGTTTGCAATGAATCATCAAATTTTTATTATTATTTATTTCATCTGCAAAATTTCAGGTTTATATGTAATAGGAAATGATTTATTATACTGAATGTTACGTAAGAAACTGGCAATTATATAGGATGCAAGATTATGAAATTATAATTTCTACTGCCGTAAATGAAGAGTTCTAGTTTATTTTATGTCGAAAAATAAAAAACAACATACGTACTCTATCGACGCAAGTTTCATACTGGCAAATTCTTTATTTATTCCTCTTCAAAAAAATCTCATTGGTTTTTTCTAATACCTATTAGTGTGTGAGATAATTCCGATCGATATAATTTCCGACATAGTTTATTCATAATTAAATAATTATCATTTTAAATTTGGGTGCATGTGATAAACACAGTATAATCAATATTAGTGAACTGATGTAATCTTATCGAAAGCGATTGTGCTCTTGCAATGAGGATTTTTATCGCTATTCGACATCTATCATCTTTTTACATGGAGGACATAACGAAAAAAAAAGCTTTTACCTGTAGAACAGTTTTGTTGTTGGAAAGAAAAAAGAAACATGTCTTCTTTGTTTTTATTTCAAATATATTGCACATGTCTCTATGAATATTGCGCAATTCATGAGTATTTTGACTTCACTCACCATACTATTCTGTTTCATACATTTATAAGATCATTCTATATAAATTGCTATCATACTGTGTGAAACAATATATGTTGTCTATTCATAGATATTTATTATTTATATATAATTGACGCTTATTACTTGTAAGAAGAACAAAGTACAATATTTTATTAAGTTTATAAATATCAATATAACTGTCTAGAATAAATAATATAATACTAAATGATACCATCTCATTTCAAATAACACTTGTTTGTTACAAATTTTCGCTATGTTATAAGACAATGAAAAAATTAGTAAAAAATGAATTTTTCTTCCGTATAGAGAACTTTCTTTTTATATGCAATGACTCTAGGAGCTTGCTGTAAACAAGTTGTATATGGGCACGGCCAAGCGTGACGGAATTTCATTTTTTCAACTTGTGAGACATGTATCTTATCAATAACAAGAGAAATGTCCCTGAAATTTTTACCATACATGAAGATTAACTAACTCTACTAGCAGTAAAAATTTAACTGATTTATGACGAGCCATAACGGAGTTATATGAAAAATATCGTTCGTTACGGAATTTCAAAAATGGACAAAATTTTGAGGGAGGACTCAGATTTTAACATTTTTCTCCGAAACTAAATGACTCATAAATGAACGTTTTATACATAGATTGTTCAGCTTTTCACAAGCTCTTAGAATATCATGTCGTTTTCTCTGTAAAACATTTCCTTTAAAAAGGACGACTTAAAAGATTGAGCGTTACGGAATTTCGCCGTTTTTCTCTTTTTCTGTGAGGGACAATTTAGCGACATTTTTATAATAGTTTTAACTATGAAATCTAATTTTTTTTCATTCTGTAACGATTAAGAGTATTGTTTTCTATAGATCAATTAGTTCATTTTCATGTCTGTCTCAAAATTTCATAGAAAATTTCATTCATTATTTTGACAAAAATGAAAATTTTCAAAATAAAAAAAGCGAAATTTCGTGATTATTCGTGTTTTTAAAGTCGTAGGAACGGAAAATGATATTTGTTTTATGTGTCAGCTGAGTAATTCAGAATGTCGAACAAACTTAATATTTCAAGATCATACTTTCTGTTAAAAAAATTTTTCTCTATATATTACTGATTTTTAACCTTCACCAGCGAAGTGGACTATTAGCTGGCCGTGCCCATATACAGTCAATGTACATGCAAATTGTTAAAAAAAATATTTATTTTAAATAATAACTGGATTGATATATTATGTTAATATTCAATCAAAATCGTATCTAATATATTCTAATTAGATAAATATATTTAATATTTCTAGCTGTTTGAATGCGTAACGTATTATTTGATTTATAAGAATTGTTTCTTATGTTTGACTCGTTAAATATTTTTGTCGTTCTGTATTAAACAGCTGAAAGAGAACAAAAAATATAAATCTGTTTAACATGCATTGCAGTTTAATCAAAGAAAAATAACTCAGTAGGAGGTTGACTGTAATTATTTATTGATATATTCGTTATAATATATCTGAAAACATCGAACAGTGAAAAAAAAATCGATTAGTTGCATGTTATATAAAGTCTTTGCTGTAATGGAAAACATTTACAGCATTAATACTACCATATAGCTCCCTCTGTATTTGAAAAAGATTTATTTATTCTATGCACTCACATGTTATTCTATAGTTTTAGTATATGTACCTGCCTTTTGTCGCTTTCCTCCGTGTGAATCATAATAAATCGAGTAGCGACGAAACTTCTGTTTTTTTCTGTTTCTTATATCTATATTTTAATAATGCGCTCTTGTTTTTTAACTTTTCATTCGATTCATATTAAAAATAACAATAATAATCGAATAAAAATTTCAGATGAGTGATCCACTTAGACGTGTTGCCGTTGTTGGCAGTGGTAACTGGTATTTAATTGAATTTTTTATCATTGATTTATGATTATATCTATTATAATTTAGGGGCTCAACAATAGCTAAAATAGTTGGAACTAATATAACTAAATTTAATACATTTGAAAATGAAATTCGTATGTATGTTTATGAAGAAATGGTAGACGGGCGAAAACTTACAGATATTATTAATCAAGAACATGAAAATGTCAAGTACTTACCAGGCCATAAATTTCCACCTAATGTTGTAAGTACCGACGAAAAAAAAAACATGTGACTATTTATGAAATAAATATAAAAAAGTTAACTATATTCTATTCAGGTAGCATATCCAGACGTAATTGAAGCTGTAAAAGATGCTGATATCTTATTATTTATTTTACCACATCAATTTGTTGAACGAACATGTCATGCTATTAAATCTCATGTTAAAAAAACTGCTTTTGCTGTATCCTTCTCTAAAGTATGTGATTTGCTTTTTTTTGTTTAAATTTTCTTATTCGATTGAATTTATTATCGATTTAGGGTTTTTATGTTAGTAAAGATAAAAGTGTTGACCTACTTTCAACTGTAATTAGTCGTTTATTAGAAATTCCATGTTATGTATTAATGGGAGCTAATATTGCAAGTGAAGTTGCAGCAGGAAAATTTTGTGAAGCCACAATTGGTTCACGAAATTATGAACACGGACAATTAGTTAAAGGTCTTATACAAACAGATGAATTTCGTCTTGTTATTAAACCAGATACAGAAGTTATTGAAGTACTTGGTGCTTTGAAAAATATTGTTGCAGTTGCTGCTGGATTTTCTGATGGATTAGGTTTTGGTGATAATACAAAAGCTGCTGTTATTCGTCTTGGTTTAAAAGAAATGGTTAAATTTTGTGAAGAATTTTTTCCTGGTTAGTCAAACAATAGTAAATTAATAAAATAAAAATTGAAGGATTTTTATTTTTTAGGACATCATCCACAAATATTTTTGGAATCCTGTGGTGTTGCTGATCTCGTAACAACATGTTATGGTGGTCGAAATCGTAAAGTAGCTGCAGCATTTGTTAAAACAGGAAAAGATATTAAAACACTTGAAGAAGAAATGCTCAATGGACAAAAATTACAAGGACCTGATGCAGCTGCTGAAGTTCAAGAATGGCTCAAAGAAAAAGGACAAGCCAATAAGTCAGTTTTATTAAATTGATTATATTAGGAATTATTTTTTTTTTGATTTTTAATAGATTTCCATTATTTGTCGCAGTACATGAAATTTGTGAACGTCGACTTGAACCTAAAGCATTAATTGATGCTCTTCGACATCATCCAGAGTTTTGGTAAACAAATCAATTAATTAAAATAAACTTTCTATATGTTTACTGTTGGAATCGATTAACAACTATTGCTATTTTTCTTCTTTTTTTAGTTTATTTTTTCCTTCAGCTATTAGCTGTAAAACTTCTATTTCCTTTGTCATTATTCCTATATTCTTTTTTTTTAAACTCGTATCTTCTATTAAATGAATAGATGTTTTGCACCTAAGACAAGTTAGATTTACCTGTACTATAGAGTCAGAAACATAGTTTCTTTTTAAATATTTTCCAAGACAAAAAAAAATCTCGTTTATCATAAATATAGATCATCAAAGAACACACTTTTCATATGCACTTACATCTATCGATAAAAAATAAGAATACAGTCAAATCTAAAAATCATTCGACTTTATTTATATATATATCGTAACATGTATTAATCATAAACTTGTTAAGTGCAGCACATGTACGATTATACAAAATGTAATTTTGTAGTAATGATAGGTCAGTTTTTCTTAACGAGTGATAACTAAATAAGAACATTCTTATTAATCAGAGAATATTCATTTCTCTATGATAAATAATCGATATCTGATTCTTGGAAATTAATTCTTTTATAAATTATTGAATCGCTCTTTTTTCACAAATTTCTAAGATAAATATTGATTTGATTTAAAACACGAACAAAAGTTTTTTGCAAGAAATAGATCGACTAAATTGAATTTGAATATTGCTTCTATGATGAGCTTTCTCATATCAGAAGATTGTTTTATTTATGGTTGTATTTGTAAATATTGCTACTACTTGAGCTATATTTTCTCTACTCAAGAGGAGATAATGGACAGAGTAGATTTAAAAAAAACGACTAGGTGTTCATTAGTCATTACTTTGTTGCCTTGTGATGTATTAATATTTCTCAAAAAACTTCATCAAATTTAATCGAGAGTAGAAAAGAAGTCACCTGGAAAATGTCAATTATTGTATTAGAAAAGTCATCGATTTAGCTAAGAATCAAACCCAACTGATTAAGGTCATGAACCTGTCCAAATGGTATCAGTCCCTAGGTGGGAGACTTCGGAGCATCATTTCATGTCAGTTTATTTCTATTATATTAGCATTCCTTCAGTAAGAGGCTTAGCAGCGTTTGCGCTGCGTTATTTGTTTATGTATAGTTACAAGTAGAGATGTGACATGCAGTTTCACTAATACAAGTTCATCTGAAAAAAATTAATCACGTGCTCACAAGCTTTAACAGTCACATTCCTACTCTAAAATAACATGATAAATGACTATTTCATATAAATACTTATATAAAATGAATCTCCTATCATCCATCAAGCACATGTTGTTTTACTAGAAGCAGAGTGTACATTACTTATGATGCATGTTCATTAATACATGATTAACAATATTTGCTTTTTTTTATTGCATCTGAAAACTTATTTACAAATGTTGTATATAATATTCTCTATCTCTTCTTTTATTTGTAACTATAAATAATATCGAAATAATTTCATATAAATGGTAACAATAGCTCTACTGTTTTTTTTCAAGGAAATTTGATAATTACAAGTACAAAATTGTTAATGAAAAAGTACTGACAAATATTTATATATATGTCCTTAAAAAAATATCTCAAATCTAGGAAAGAAAAATGATCGATTCCTTTTCCAAATGTCTTTTAACTTTGTTCTGGAAAACAAGATTTTTGGCACGTAGTTTTCAAGTTGAATATTAACAACTCCAAGATCTACTGTTTATTAAGTACATATGTTTGATGGAGAAACAACATGCATATATTTCTCATTCAAAGTTATAGAAGTAATATTGTTTTCTCTCATTTTCTCTTGAGAATAATAGATTGCTAAATTTTAAATAATACTTCTGCTTTTTTCTTACTTAGTTAAGTATTTTTTTTATTTTAATGGAAAGTCTCATATTATCGAGACATTAATAGTTCATCATAGTTTTGAGTATTTTTTCTTATGTAAAACCATGCTAAACCTTTAATTTAGATTAGTGAAATCTTTGGAGTAAAAACTTTTTTTGCAAGTATATCTTTTCAAAATGGTGAAGTTGAACGAAGTATCACCTATTGATTACAACAATACAAGTGTTCGTGATGTAATTATTAAAGATATAACATGAACTTATTTTTATTTTGTTTTTATTATTTTAGCCTCAATCAAGTATCATCAATATTGATCAAACTACAACAACTCAATCACGAACATTGTATGTGTATTTTTAGTTCTAGATGTAGTAAGGTCGAATAGTTTGATTAAAAGTTGATTTGCCTTCACTTCTTCAATTGACGATTTTCTAAATATTGTTTTCTCATAAGTATTGTATTATTTTTATTATTATATATTGATAGTACTGTGTTTTTTGACTAAAATTTGTTCTTAGAAACGAATATTTGTATCTTGAAAATACAAGTACATAATTGTTTGTTTTTGTAAGAACGGATTCAGAGTACAAAACATAAGATCACTGATGTATAATAATAACAATAATAAAATATGGGTATTAAAATCAATCATAAATTGGATGGAATGAGAGTATGACTAAGTTTGATGATTAGAAGTATTTGTTATTTTTAGATGGGAACAAATTCGAACAAAAAAATGGGTGCGGATTGTATTGTTAATTCTGGTTATTATTTTGATTATACTAATTATTATTATTCCCATAATTATTATGAAAAAGAGAAGTGGAGATACAGAAAAAACATTATCAACAGAAGCAACAACAACGATAACAACAGAAACAACTACAATGATAACAACAGGAACAACAACAACAACAATGATAATAACAACAACGATAACAACAGCAACAACAACAATGATAATAACAACAACAACGACAACAACAATAGCTACTACGACAACAAGCGGTATAACTCTCTTAGAAAGAAAATAAAAAGAAGTCGGTTGTTCACTCTTGATAACTCATAATACAAAAGCTTTTGAAATCTTGTATGTCATAAATTATAAGCATTTGAGGATGGATAGATAGTTGATTGAGAGTGCCATTATTATTTTTGTTGGTCACATCTTCATGATCACTGCATCTTCTAAAAGTATTTTTCGTTTTGTATTAGGTTCATGTTTGTTATATACTGAGCTAGCAAGTTTCAATTCTGCAACTATTCTGCTCAACTCGATATTATTAGCTGATATTAATAAAGATACCAAATTAGATATTATTGTCGGAAACCGTTTTGAGAAAACTATTATGATATTCTTAAATCTTGACGATGGAACATTTACTCAATCGAAAACGGTTTCACATAAAATCGAGCCGTCACATATAACTACAGGTGATATCAATAATGATGGCAAGCTCGATATTATTGCTACCTATAGAGATGCACCGGACATTACTGTTTTTTATAACACCGGCAATGACAACTTTAACAATACGATGATCATTCCAACGGAAGTACCCATAGCTGATGTGAAAACAATTGATATTAATAAAGACAATAAACTTGATCTTATTGTCGCCTGTTCGTTCGAAGAATGTATTATCGTTTTTTTGAATGATGGTGACGGAGTATTTAGTAAACAAATCAGGTATGAACCTACTTATTTTCCACTCGATCTGGAAGTAATCGATGTGAATAATGATGCTCTGCCTGATATTATTACAAGACATGATCATTATAAAATAACTGTGTTTTTAAATACCGATAATGGTAATTTTATCGAGCAAAAGTCTACTTCGATTAGCCTGGATTCTCGATTTATTAAAGCTATTGATATAAATGGTGACAATAAAAGTGATCTACTCGTAGGATATTCTTCGAGTTTTCAGATACATTTCGGTTTTGGCAATACTACATTTGCTGATCCAATTGAACATTGCAGTAACTATGGAATAACATCTTTAGAAACAGCCGATTTCAACAATGACAATAAAATAGATATTATTCTCTCACATAGTGACAGCAATAAAATTAGTATTTTTTTAAATACAGGTAATGGAACATTTAAAGAACCAAAAATTCTGGACAACATTAACCACCCAAAGTATGCATCAATGATTGATATTAATAGTGATGGTAAAGTAAAACTTGTTATCGCAAACGATCAAACTATCGGAACACTTGACTTCCGCTGTTAGATATATCTTCAATGACTATATATATATTATTCTTTATTTTTATGTTAATAAGCTTTTCATAAATTTTCTTTTTCGTTTTAATTCTACTCTATATTTATTTTTTTTTTCGCTTATATATCATATTAAATCAATAAATTCATATACAATATATAATCTTTGATGTTTTCTTTAAAAAATATTTAAATAAATCGAAAGAATTATGAAAATGAATTCTATATTAAAAGTAAAGTTTCAATATATCATGCTCGACTGTTTTAAACATTTAGATCGAAAAATAATTGTCATTGATATTTTCATTATCAATTAGAAACTACAAAATATATATTCATATCTTTGATCATTTCGAATCACGAACTAAAAATCTAAGTAAGTTTTGTCTCATATCTTTTGGATCATTAGAGAAATAATTCATATGTTAATTCCTTTACAATAACTATTATATCACTTTATCATCTAAAATATTCTTCATAGATAATTGTTCTTACAATCAATGAGTATGGAACAGCATGTATTACATCATTGTTCTAAGTTCGTCTATAATTGAAAATAATGGCAATTCAATCAAAAAAACTACTACTTCTTTCAATGTCGTACATGTTTTGTTTGAGTTTTTATTAATATGAAATATTTAAAAATATTGATAGCCCAGTGTATCAGTCATATAAAAATGCTTGTATAATATTAACTGATAAGATATATGCATCAGACAAATGATTCTAATATTATCGAAGGCTAATAATAATTGAATGAGATAATATTAATTAATTGAACTCATATAGGCTGTTTATAATCGACATATAACTTATGAAAACATGATAGCCTACCAGAATTGTTGAGTATAAAAAAATATGTTAATTCGTATTAATTGTTTTTCTAAAAGTTTAATAGATTAATTTATCAAATAGTTACGATTCATGATACGTTCTGTAAGTATAACGACTAACTAATTTGCATGACCTCACAATATCGATTATATAGTTACAGAAGGATAAGATTTCACAAGTATACTTGGTTTATCAAAAAATAAATCTTTATGATTGTTTGTGATACACAATTTATTAAGTATTATGTGATAAGTGTAAATCATATAGGTTAAAGCAGGAAAATTTGATTAATGTTTCGAATAAGGATGTGATAGTTTCATATCAGTTCAGAGAGCGGAAGTGATGCATCAATTCAAGTTCATCTGAAAAGATCTAATCACGTGCTTACAAGCTTTAATAGTCACATTCCTAGTCTGAAATGACTTGATAAATGACTATTTCATATAAATACTTCTATAAAATAAATTTTCTATCATTCATCATTCACATGTTATTTTACTAGAAGCAGAGTGTACATTACCTATGATGCATGTTCATTAATACATGATCGACAATATTTGCTTTTTTTATTGCATCTAAAAGCTTATTTTCAAATGTTGTATATAATCTTCTTTGTCTCATCTTTTTTTTATGATTATAAATAATATCGAAATAATTTCATATAAATGGTAACAATAGCTCTACTACTTTTTTTCAGGAAATTTGATAACTACAAGTACAAAATCGTTCATAAAAAAGTATTGATAAAGATATATATTGCAGAACCACAAAAGAAAAATGATCGATCACTCTTTCGAATGTTTTTTTAACTTTGTTTTAGACAACATGATTTTTGGCACGTAGTTTTCAGGTTCAATACTGTCAGTTTCAAGATCTCCTGTTTATTAAGCAAATTTATATTTGATGGAGAGACAACATGCATATATTTCTCAGCGGTAATATTTATTTCATCTAGTCAATATTTAAAATAGGGATAAATAATTTGTTCTCATATATCAACCACATTCTTTTTGAAAGATTCATATTTATAAGTATGTTCTTAAAAGTAGGAAAACATCTACAATCATTTTGATGATTTACTGAATAGTTGATATCTATTCAATAAGTCAAGGAAAATATTTCTCATTCAAAGCTATAGAAGTATTATCGTTCCCTCTCATTTTCTCTTGAGAATACATCGTTAAATTCTTAAATAATATTTCTATTATTTTAAGTACTTTTTCTTATTTTGATGGAAAGTCTCATATAATCAAGATATTAGTAGTTCATCATAGTTTTAACTATTTTTCTACTGTGAAACTATGATAAGCTTTTTATTTCAGATTAGTGAAAAATCTTTGAAAAAAAACATATTTTCAAGTATATCTTTTCAAAATGGTGAAGTTAAACGAAGTATCACCCGTTGATTACAACAATACAAGTGTTCGTAATATAGTTATGAAAGATATAACATGAGCTTATTTTTATTTTATTTTTATTATTTTAGGCTCAATCAAGTGCCATCAATATAGATCAAACTTCAATAATTCAATCACAAACATTGTACGTATATTTCGAATTTTACATGTAGTAAAGTCAAATAGTTCGATTAAAAGTTGATATGCCTTCGCTTCTTCTGTTGATGATTTTCTAAATATTGTTTTCTCACAAGTATTTTATCATTTTCACTAATATATATATATATATATATATTGATAGTACCGTGTTTTTCCATTGAAATTTGCTCTTACAAACGAATATATGTATCTTGAAAATACAAGGACGTAATTATTTGTTTCTGTAAGAACGTATTTAGAGTACCAAACATATGAATATTGATGTATAATAATGAAAATAGTAAAATATTGATATTAAGATCAAACATAAATTGGATGGGATGAAAGCATGACTAAGTTTGATGATTAGAAGTATTTATTATTTTTAGATGGGAACAAATTCGAACAAAAAAATGGATGCGAATTGTATTATTAATTCTGGTTATTATTTTGATTATACTAATTATTATTATTCCCATAAT